TACTTATATTCTCTATATTTAAATGAGGGCAACATTTTCTCTAATTTATTTAAACTCTGAGTGAAATTCACACTACCCAGCAGCCCAAAGCCAGGGTAAACAGGCTTTTTTTCAGCTAAATTAAACTGGGGTGGAGTCATTCCTACCTCCTCCCCTGAGCCAGAGTGCCTGTGTAGCTGGCCCAATAAATAAAATAAATAATAATAATAATATTGCAATTTGCAATAATAAACGCCAATATCACCTATGGTCCTGTACACTGAAGCAGTACTAAACTGAAGTCTTTATATTGTGGAGATGCCAGTCATGGATCCATAATGAAAGCTGAGTTGAGTTTTGCATCTAAAGCAGGGATCCAACATCTCTGTTCTATATGAAGAATATATTGTATCCTCCCCAAAATTACCACACTGTAATTGTGTACACAATGATTTATCTGGGAATTTACAGGAAATCCATCAGTTTATGAGCTAAAATTAATTTTAAAATTGGGTCCTTCAAGAAATTTAGTATGGGTACCAAACCTTTTCTTGTCTTGAATGATCTCAACAACAGAATCTCAAAAAGTGTCCATGTAGATCAAACTCATTGAAATCTCAGGCATACACTGCATTTGAAGAAATTTAGTTGTAATTATCCTAACTTATTAGCTATTTTTGTTTCTGACTGTCATTATTACAGTAAAATATTGACAGGTCAACAGCTCAGGTCACTCTCAGCTGCAGCTATTGTGACATCAGAGGCAACAACCAACCAATGCTTTCACTCTACAGCAGTGTTTCCCCAAACTTGGGACGCCGCTTGTTTAGGGAAAGCCCCTGGCAGGCCGGGCCGGTCTGTTTACCTGCCGCGTCCGCAGGTTCGGCTGATCACGGCTCCCATTGGCCGCGGTTCACTGCTCCAGGCCAATGGGGACTGCGGGAAGTGGCGCGGGCCAAGGGACATACTGGCCACCGCTTCCAGCAGCTCCCATTCGCTTGGAGCAGCGAACTGCGGCCAGTGGGAGCTGCGATTGGCCGGACCTGCGGACGCGGCAGGTAAACAAACTGGCCCGGCCTGCCAGGGGCTTTCCTTAAACAAACGGCATCCCAAGTTTGGGAAACACTGCTCTACAGAAAACGGAAGTAGCTAGTTCTTCCTATTCAATTCTGCTACAGATCTATTGGTTGTAATGGGTCAGTGGTATCAGAAACTCGAGTGAATAAATGTGTCAAGCCTTCCCAGGCATGTTACTTGGCCCAACTGTCACTGCTTCTTAAAGGTATGCTATGCTGAAAACTTGTGTTACAAGAAAATGAAGGCTGAGAGTAATTTAAGAGTAAAAATATTATATATAAACAGTTATAACTAATTAAAGTTATAATTACACAAAATAATTACAAATCCAAGAAATTCAGAGTTAAACTTAAAAGAAATCCAAACATGCTAAGGCTCCTGCACAACCTTAAATAAGCTCTCTAGCGACGGGCAAAATATTAGGGGGGGGGAGGAATGAATGTGTCTTTAAAAATCAGCTTGCTCTAAAATGCATAGACTATAATTGCATAGTAGCACCACAGGGCACAGTTAATATCATTCACGTGCTCTGTTGCCAGTGTTGTCATGGCTCATCAAGTTATATTTTAACATACTGCCATGCATAGGGTGGCATATCTCCCTATGCTGAATACAGGACACCTGGTAAAATTACTCATATTCAAGCGAGTTAAACGGCAATCAATCAGAACTATGCAGTAAACACGTTCAAATTAACATCAAGTTGACTGAGCCCCCATTAAGAAGAAATACCATGTAACTGGATTCTTTTTATTTACCTTCTTAGCTTTAAGGCTTTAGGGCTCAGAAGGGGAGAGGTGGCACACACACACACACACACACCCATACCCCTTTGTCACACAGAGTGGGTGACTGACCAACCCGACCCTCCCTGCCCAACACTGTTCACCTTCCATGCCTAGCTGGGACACCGGGATGAACCTGCCTCTCCCGGTACCTGGCGCCGCATCTTCCCGAGGCAATGCATGTGTGTGTGTGTAGAGGGGTGGGGGGGGGGTAGTGTAAGCGAAGTCACAAGCCCCTACCCAGATTTCTGCCAGGGTTCACACAAGAATGTGGCCAACAGCAGCATTTCAGCACTGTACAGGACAGAAGGGATGGGAACTGCTTCCAGCTATCGGGGTGGAGGGGTGGGGGAGGGGGGAGAGATGACTTGGCCCATGTCTTTGCAGAGCTCATCCCCTCCCCCCACCCCCACTGCCTGTAGGTTAGGGGCAGGAATAGGCTGGAAATCGCTCCTCCACCTCCCCTCAGCCACTCCAGAGCTTAGCTGAGGGGTGGAGAGGATGCCCCATGCCAGTGCTTTGTGAGGCTTTGGAACACGCAGGGCTTGGCTCCTCCTGGCCAGTGCCCTGGGCCGGAGGGTCTTGGGCTTTCCCAGGGTGCTGGCCCAGCCAGAGGCAGTGGGGGAAGGAAGGAGCCTGCCAGCCAGGTTGCTGGTGAGCTGAGCGCTCCGACCAGGGGCTGGTTCTCCGCACAGCACTGGGAGTGGGACGCGCCCCACCGGGGGGCAGGGGAGTGATATGGAGGAGCAGCAGAGCTGAGGGGGATGAAGGGGCAAAGCAGGGAGAGGACAGCGAGAGGGAGAGCAAGTAAAAGGGCCGATGTGTGGGCAGCAGAGGCTACATGTAACCGGTCACCGCCTGGCGCCTACCCGCAACTAACTGGCCACTGCAGCTTGCAGCCAGCACCATCTGGAAACGGGATGGGGGGGGGCGGGGTTCTGCTGGCCAAGACCCGGCACAGAGTGGGGGCTGTGCTGACGGACTAGTAGGGAGAGCGGCCCGGCCCGGCATGCTGCAGCTTCACCCCGCCACCAGCCTCACGTACCCACCCCCCATCGCTGCCCACTGGACACCCCACTCACCGCTAGTGGGTGGGCAGCTGGCAAGCAGGGATCCAACCTGTAGCAGGACCACCCAGTACCGATGGGGGAGATGCAAAAAATACAGGACAATTTGCACATTTTAAAGAAAAAATCAGGACACCTGCAGGAGGGCTTAAATACAGGACTATCCCTTTCCAATTGGGACATCTGGTCACCCTAGCCATGCACAATCTTGCAAAGTCTTAGGCTAGGTCTACACTACCCGCCTGAATCGGCGGGTAGAAATCGGTCTCTCAGGGATCGAATTATCGCGTCTCGTCGGGACGTGACAATCGATCCCCGAATCGACGTGCTTACTCCACCAGTGGAGGTGGGAGTAAGTGCCGTTGACGGGGAGCTGCAGAGGTCGATTTTGCCGCCGTCCTCACAGCGGGGTAAGTTGGCTCCGATACGTCGAATTCAGCTACGCTATTCGCGTAGCTGAATTTGCGTATCTTAAATCGACCCCCCTCTGTAGTGAAGACCTGCCCTTATTTGCATAAGTATTCCCTACTGTATGACTGCAATGGGGCTACATGCTTAAGTATAATTAAGGATCCACGATAGTGCCCCAAAATGACACTTCTCTGGTAAGTACCATGCATATTATGATGCCCTTATTTAATAATAAATAATATTTAGTATTTCTCCTCCACACTATCAGCCTTGACAGTCTAGTTTATCCATTTCAGCCACAACTATCTTTGCACTTACTACCATGCCCCTTTCTAAATGAAATATCCTGCCTGAATTAGTCCATAAAACCAATACCAGGTCCTCCTCCTAATCTCTCACCAATACTTATACTACGACATATGCAAGAAACTAGTAATCTAATAAGGCATTAGGTTGAGGGCCATTTGGGCATAATTGATACTAATTATAGAAAAAAAAAGACAGTACGTTTTCTCTCTCTCCTCCCACCCTCTTTTTTGCTTGTCCATGAAGATTATAAAGATTGTGGGGGCAAGAATTATTTATCTACATATATGGAAAGTCCCTAGAGCATGGTGAATGCAACCATAATAGATCATATAAATTATAATAGCCATAATAATTATTAAAGAAATAGAAATAGCAAAGGAACTTATCTAAAGCACTGGATCAATTATATGCATTTTATATTTTGAAAATGCAAAAATTTCTTTCAAGAACCTTAAAGATCTGACAAAAGTCCTATAAGTCAGAGTTAAAACTGTCAGTTGATGTGCACAATTGTATCTTTTCTTTAAAAAATAGTATGACTGAAGGATGAAGTGTTAGCATTAATTCTGAGTTTCCTGGGGCTTTCTTTGTTTTAAGTCAGATGCTCAGATTTACTGGTGTCTTGTATTTAATTGTAGTACTACTGTTTATTCAAGTGGTAGTAGCACATTCTATGATAAATTAAATGGGCATTTATCAAAGATAACTTGCCAGTTATAAATGTCAAACATAAGCACTGTAAGACAAATATAAATAGTCTATCTAGAGTTTACATTTATCTTAATTTCAAATCTTTGGATAATCAACATTTGTACAACAGTGTTCACATTTGAATTATTGAAGAATATTTTCTGAAAGAGGAAGAGACAGTAAGTTACATCATTTATTTTTAATTAATGTTACCGCAAAAATAAAATATTAAAAATGCTATTTCCTATATAATATTGGAGAAGAAGAAGAAGAAAGTGGCATGTTATTTAGGGTTGTAAACCTTGAATCCAAGGTTTGGATTCAAGGTTTAAAGTTACTTAAATAAGCAAGTCCAACAAAATTTCATAGAAGGCATAATACGATAGTGGTAGTCAGTCTAACTCTCAAAAATAAAATTCACATGTAGTACAATACATAATGGACCCACTGAGAACACTACCCTGACAGCAATAGAAGTATTACAAACATTTGATAATAAACCCCTCCCACCTCCCTTTGACCCATAAGGAAAAGATGGGCCTTGCAGCACGCCAAAGGTTAACAAAGTTGGGTAGAGCCTTACTGGTAAAAAAGTCCAGCCATCAGCCCCCCTCTCTTTTATACCAGCGAAGCATTCTTGCATTCTTTATATTAATACACCAAAGATAGAAAGGATACTCACAGTTAAAACCAGGTTCAATATTGTTTCCAGCTTCAAGGCTGTTTATTGTGATTTGGAAGATGATGTGCAGTAGCAGGAATGATAGACTGATGAAACACAAGGATTTTAATAACCGTCCTGTATGTCCTAGAAGACACAATATTGAGATGTACATAGTTGGGAGAAGTTCCAAAAAGAGTCAAAGTAGTGTTTAAAATTATCCAAGCATAGAAATGTTGTAAAAGTCTGGTAAATGGAAAAGGTTTCTAAATAGAATCAGTTACCACCCACTAGTTATGAATGTTACTTTGAGGGTTTCTGTCACTCATACCACAGTATACAGCACGATTATAACAAATGTTCAAATATGGCACTTCAGTTATAAGAACCCTCGATTATAACTCATACAATATTTTCCTCAAATTATCTAGAATCTCCAGATATCAGTCTTAACTCAATGAAGAAAATTTTCAATATTTCTATCACCTAATCATCTGACATAGACACTGATAATTGGGGGATTACTGAATAAATTAATTATGCCAATGAGCAAATGATAGATTTGAATAAGGGATGAATTTCACTTTCTAGGTGGGTTGGATAAACCAGGTTTACTGTATTTAAAATATATTTTTTTCTTTCTAATGCAAAACTTAGAACTAAAAAAGATGACAAAAGTTAATTGCATATGTGTAGAACTGAACTGCTCTGAAAGGAGACAGATGGAGTTAAAATTCTGAGGTAATACAGAGCAGTTTTAAATAAGATAGGGAACATTTTTCTTGTCCTCAAATATGCTTTACTTATCCATAATTAACCACTTTTACAATGACAATCCCTAAATTAAACTGCAGTTTAACTGTTTTAATTAATCCACAGTTCTTCTGTGTAAAAGCTCAATTGACTTTAATGGAAGTTGTATGCTCCATAAAAAGGGGTATAAATGCTGTAGAAAGCCACAATGATAGTTTATATAGAGTCCATGAGTCCAGAGTCCATGTTGAGAATGAAATAGAATACTGTTTACTAGATTTGTTAGTGACCTGCACTACACTAGTTTATAGAGGAAGTAGCATAAAAACACAGCCAACAGTGGACTGAAATAAGAATCCACTAAGTACCATAAATTAAACAAAATATAAGACAAACCTGGAATATTTCCACAAGTGAAATCGAACAAAATATAGAGATTTCTAGCTTTAGAGTTAGATTTTTATCTCATTTATATCAGTGTAATTTCTTAGGTTTCAGCAGAGGTACATCTATAAAAGTTAGGGCAGAATTTGAAGCTTCTTAAACATTGTAAAAACCTATTTACTTTACATACAACAATAGTTTAGTTATATATTTTAGACTTATAGAAAGAGACCTTCTAAAAACGTTCAAATGTATTACTGGCACGTGAAACCTTAAATTAGAGTGAATAAATGAAGATTCGGCACACCATTGCTGAAAGGTTGCCGATCCCTGATTTAGAGGGTAATCAGCATTGTACCACGTGTTCTCTTCTGATGGCCCTCCTTTGAGACAGCACTGCCATACTGGGGTCACAGTCACTATTAAATACAATCACAACTTTTAGCATTTGTATGACCCAGCAAGGGCTTTTTCCTAAGAAACTGCAAAGGAAACAGAGGATAAGATGACCAATAGTCAGTAATAGCTGTTTCAAGAAAGTTCACTTATTGGCCATGCTATTGTATGGGCATGTCTCACAACTCTGTAAACCATAGCCTCTTATGGATGTGCTGAACAATGCAGGCCACTACCTTGGCCTGTTAATATACTAGGAATTTTCCATGCTCCCGCCTTTTCTTTTAACGGCTTAACAGATAGCAAAAGTCAGACTGAACTTTTAATGTTGAAAAGTGCCATATAAAACTGCCTTGCATGGTGTCAAGTATCAGAGGGGTAGCCGTGTTAGTCTGAATCTGTAAAAAGCAACAGAGG